TCTTTACTGACTCATTTGCTTCTCCGTCTTTACCCACTGCTTTTTTCTCTTTAACTGCTTTATTTCTCCCCTAAGTTATTTACCTTTATCTATAATTGGCTCTGTCTACTGTCATTGCTCACTGAAGTAATGCTCTCCAGCCTGTGGCCACCTGTAACCTGTTGGAGATCAGACTCAATAAAGCTGGTGTGTTACTTAATAATTAACTTCCTTTATTAGACAAAGAAAAGAGTCCATGAAGTGGTTCTTAAAAGATAATTAAGATTCTGTGCTCTATATTCTAACTCATGTTTTGGAGATCAAAGCATCAGATGTCTAACAACAGTGACATTTGAAGAACACTTTATCTCTGCAAAGGTCATCAGAGGCCATCAGTTCTGTCTGTAAGCTGGGGTCTGGAGTCTAAAACCATCACAATGACTGAGGCAGACAGAGGAGGGATTTGAACTAGCAACCTATTGGTTTCAGAACAACTCTCACCTTCTGAGCCAGGGTTGCACCCCATTTTATTTTATAGTTCATATAGGAAAGATACAAATATTCCCACTGCTGCAAAGTTAATCTAATCCACAGTTTTTTATTATAATGAGGTGTCTATGGCACAAGGGCATTACAGTAATTATGTCTGAAGGGAACGTGTCTCCCTCACATTAGAAAAATATTTGCTTTAGAACCCTAAACATTTATGATAGAATATTACTTCTCCCAGTGGTCTCATAAAAGTTGCAGCATGTAAATGTCTTCAACAAATTTGTTAAAATGATAATGGCATAAGACAGAAAATCTATGAAAAAAATATTTCCTCTGCCTTCTTGCAGTCCTCCCTGTATAGAAAAACACCACGTAGTGAGAAATAACCAGAGCCAGGAGGAGGGCCTTAGCGCTGTCAGCCACTCTTGTTCTAAAGTCCTCTGCCTTGCGTTCTGATATGCTAGAGTTGGTTCACCACAAGATTTCCTGCCACGAATGCTAGTTGGCTGATGACAATGAATAATTGGTTTTTCTATATGTTGTTTCTTTGTCATTAGAACATTTAGCACCATGCATATGAGCTTGATTGACAGCACTAAGATGCTCTTCCTGTCTCTGATTGGTTGTTTTTGACCAGGCAATTTTGCAGACTGCTAGTGATGTTGGGACAAGGTGGAGGAGCTTGATCTTCTCACAGATTATCTATCTCATATTATCCTGTCACAACATGGTAACAGTCTTAATAAATATGGAAAAAATATATTTTTGCAATTTTTTTTAAATGATAATCACAGAGAGAACTATGATAGCTAATAAACATGTTGTGTGTTGACATGTTATTTTTTGAGATATTCTTGCCCACTGATTCAAAATATAATTTTGGTTAACATTTTTTACATATTTAACTTGTGCTGGACAGTTGGCATAGTTGGTAGCAGGGTAGCCTTGCAATTAGAAGATCTGTTGTTCAAATAATTCTGCCTGGAGTTTGCAAGTCACAATTCAAAGGGAACACATAATAATCTAAATTAATTTGTCAAATTATATTTTTATCACTGTAACCTGAATTGTAAGGCTGCAAAAAAGAGCATATTGAATTCTGCAGATATGTTGTTTCACATTGTACACCAGTGAATGGTAATGGAATATTTTAACAATGCAACATCTCAGATATACAAAATGTGTCTTGTTAATGAGCATTTCGTTTGGATGTGTTGTTTTTTGAAGATAAGTAAAGAAAACAAAACATAGATGCATGTTGTGCCGTGAGACAGTCTGAGTCAATTTCCCTCCTTTAATCTGAATTATGATGAAGCACTCATTCAAAATAACAATTGTGTAATCGAAACTGAATCAATCTGTTAAAACAAAATAAGAGGCCTAACTCAGTAAAATATAAGCTTTGTTTAGCTTAGCAATTCATTATTACTCATGTCATATCAACTCCCCCTCACTAATAGAAACCTTTTGTCATCAATCTGATAAGCTGCCAGTCTTGGCCAGGATTGTCTTTTGTAAAACATTTTTGATCTCAATGGAATTTTCTTGGTGAAATAAAGGCTGAATACAAAAATAACATCAGATAAATGTGTATATGACTAACTCTAACATTCAGCTACAGAAGGGAGGCCAGCTGTTGTTGCATTCAGCTGACGAACCCATTTGTGTTTTGTCTGCAAAATCAAGGGAACCAGAAGTAAACTGATGAAAAGATACAATCCCAAATTACTCTGGAGGAAACGGGGGAACAATGAGTAATTTATGGTTGCTACTTGTCTCTCTGCCACAACAGAGCTGGTTGCTGCCCAGCTTATCAATGTCATTTACATTTTTTCTTGCGTTGCCCCAAGGGAAAATCCTTTAGAACGAGTCATCAAAACAACGATCGAGTGTCTTTTCAAATGGTGGCGGTTGTAATTGTTCCCTTTGAAAAAATAATAAAATAAACTGGGAAAATTCTCAACTAATTACAAACTCTTGCATCTCCATTAATCTTGTCATAAAAGACATTAATCAAGAGTAAAAAATGTGTTGACAAAAGACAGCCAGTGTGGCAACCTTATATCATTAGACAGTTATTATTTCTGTTAGGTACAAAAAAAAATTTTGAATTTTGAGCTTATGTGAAAACAAGGTCAGGGGGTTCAGTCTTAGAAGAAACAGCAAATGGGATGCATCTCAAGCGATTCTTAAAAAATGCAGTATATATTTAAACTTGACTATCGTCTTATCCAGACACATACCAAAGTTTTTGGTAGCATGTGAAAGAAAAAGTTTGAAAATTGCAATAAATTTATTCAGAAAAGACACATTAAGCATTGGACAAAAACTGAGGAATTATGTTTAGAAGAAGTAGGAAACCTTAAAGATGGCAGAAACTATTACTCAAGAATGGATATTAAAGTTTGTCTATTACTTCTAAAAATAAGTCTGAAATTTCCACTTTTTCAACAGAGGAACAGTGTTCACTGCATTTTCATTCACTTAGTTTTATGAAGAAAAGCATTACTTCTATTATATTAACTATTTAGCATCATGGACAAATATTTTTGCCACGATCCTTCTGGAAACATTATGGCCAAATTATTAATGTCACACAATTGAAGTGACAAGATGTAGCAAGTCTTTGAGGCTCATGCAAAGCTCAAGTAAATAAATACTTAGCATCATACCTGAAATGTCTTGTCATCTGGCTATCATTGTTTTTATATTTGTTTTATTTTGTTTATCACAGAATTGAGCAGCAATATAATGTAGTAAAAGAACCATTTAGATGAAGAAATGAAAAGCAGGTGTGCTTTGATGCATAGTGATGTGATGCAATTATGACCAAAAAACCCATCTATCTGAAGAGTTTTAAAGTGTATATTTAATTGAATATTTTTAAAGAGAAGAAGAATATTATGCAAGATAGCAAACAAAAGGATCACTACACCTTTTTGTGTTGAAACTAGATATTTACATAAACCTATTACAAAGACAAATCCATTGTTTTCTCACAGTCTGAAGTTAAATCAGACCAAACTTTTCTTGTTTTAGTTTAGTTATATAAAGTATTTTTCTAAATCCCAGAGAACATTTTTTTGTCAATCAATTTCAAAAGTTTACATACATTTGGTCAGTCGTTTCTAAAATTTTATGATTTGTGTCAAAGCTTTCGGGTTTCCACAAACTTCTAACTGGCTAACTGACACATTAAGTTAATTGGAGTCACACCTGTGGATGTATTTCGAGGGAACGCCTGAAACACACGGCTTCCTAGTATGACACGATCAGAAATTCAAAAGAAATGAGCCAAGATATCAGGAAGAGAATTATGCAACTGCACAAGTCTGGCTCATCGCTTGAAACAATTTAACGCTTGAAGGTGCCGCGTTCATCTGTTCACACAATTTTATACAAGTATTGACATGATCAGAATGTCCAACTATCAAAATGCTTATGCAGAGGATGATTTCTGTGTCCCAGAGGTGAACGTCTTTTGTTCCAAAATGTGCAGATATACTCAAAAACAAAAACTACCTTTTGGTAAGGTAGTGTCATCATCCACAGTCAAACTGCCCTGTACCTGAAAGGCCCCTCAAGGAAAAAGCCTTTACTAAAAAAGAAACATAAAAATACAGATTGTACTTTGCAGATGCACACTGGGACAAATATCTTAATTTTTGGAGGCATGCCCTCTGGGTTGATGAAAATAAAGTTTAACTTTTTGGCCATAATTACCATTGTTATATCTGGAGCAAGAACAGGGATGACTACCCCATCCGGGTGGCAGCATCATGTTGTGAAATATAGTAGATGGCATCATGAGGAAAAGAACATTATGCAGAAACATTGAAGGGACCTCTAAAGATATCAGTCAGGAAGTCAAAGCTAGAAGTGACTAAAGGACAAAACAAAACAATGTTCTCAGTCCTACGGAGAGAGTTCTAAAAAGGGTTGTGTGAGTGAGGTGAGCTACGAAATGGACTGTTACACCAGTTTTGTTGTGAGGAATGGGCCAGAACTCAAGCAAACGATTGTGAGGAGTTTGTGGAAGAAAACCCAAAAGAAAACCCAACTGGAGCATATCAGGAGTTTTCAAGACAGCTATCCCTGACAGTGATCAATTGTATGTAAACTTTTGAAATTCAAAAAGTTAGAAAACAATTCTAAAAAATATTTTCTGCCATGTTTTCTGGTATTTAGCAAACAGAAATAATTTGAGGAATTCTAACTAAGCTAAAACAAGAAAAGTTTCAAGATTCAACTTCAGACATTGAAAAAATTGAAATTGTGTTTTTTTATTCAGTGTTTGTAAATATCTGGCTCAACTGAATTTGCACGGTGTATTAGGGTATAATTAGCTGTGGCCAAGAAATAAAGCTCCTTACATTAGTGGAAATATCAAAAGTCACATTTCATCAATCACTGATATACATTACCATGTTAGAACAACTTACTAGTCAAGAAAAGCTTAGTTGTTTAGAAACAAGGGAATAAAACAAGCTATATATAAACAGTTTGTATTATGTAGGGCAGACACTCACCCGCCTCCCAACTTTGTTATTATGCAACCTCATTCTTGCATGGATGTCTCTATAGGTTTCGCGGGCGTCCAGGAAGTCCCTTGAGAACTTTTCCCCGAATTCCACATCAGGGCTGCAGCCACCCCACTCCCAGGAGTCTGGCTGCAGTCCGGAGAGCTCGGCGGGGTAGTGTTCCATCACACCGTGAACCATCCCTTTCCCTCTCTGGATGGCCTCCAGCTGTAAGCGGCTGAGCTTGAGTCGAAATGCCTCCTCGTCCCCGCGCCGCTTCTCGTCACAGCCGCATGCTTTCAGTTTTCCCATGGAGCAGGCATTGGCCACCGCGTGCACCACCCCAGCTGCTGCGATCGCATATGCAAAGGCACTCTCTCGAAAACCTGTGGGTACAGTCAGTTTATAAGTAAAAAGCTCAAGCTGAAGGACATGATAAGCTTTGAACAGGACAGAACCATATGTTTAGAAAAAAGATAATTTCATTGCAAATGAAAAGTGATCCTTGTCCTTGCAAAGAAAAGTAGTCCCACTTCATGACTGTACCACCACTAGGTTATAATGTGGTGAAGTTTATTTAGGCTTATCTGCAATTTTAGGATGTTTTCACAACAGAACAGTCTTTTGGGCCACTTTATTTTCTGGACTAAAAGCAGACTTTTTTGTTAGTTTGTTTAATGGGGTTCGCTTTCACATTGTACTTTTCTGCAAACGGACTTCAATTTTTAAACAAAGTCATGTGGGTGACAACCACTCCTCCCATTTGACAGGAACGACGGAGGACAAAGCACAGAAAAAACAAACTGTAAGTTCTTCTTGTTGCATTTCAGTTGTTGACATTTGTGCTGGTATTGCAACTACAACTGCATTCTAAAAGTCAAGACCAGCTCATGCAACACAGGTTTCGCAATGGGATAGTTTTACTTTCTCAGTGACATCGGCAAATGCGAGCAGCAAGCTCAATGAGGCGAGATGTTGGCTCCCAGCATTCTGCCTGCAGTATCGCCGAGAAGAAAATGGCATGATTTCAGTACAATCAGTACATGCAGTAGTACCATTAGCAACCTTGAAGGACTCAGTTTTTCCATAATGCCCAGCAAAAGTAAGCCAGGAAGCCCAAAAAGATGTATGTATCTTGTTATTGGTTTGGACTGCACTACGGTCCATTTGGAAGAGGACTGAGACCACCTCAAAAAGTGGATCTTGGTCTGATTAGTTGGTTTGCACCTGGGCTTGCTTGAGTATAGTCACACTTGCAAAAAAGGTAAGGATCGACAGAGGAAAACAAATTCTGGTCCATTAAAAGCAGACCAAATGTGTCTGGTGTGAATGCACACTTAGTTTTCCTTAATGTTTTTTGAAATTCAATTAAAAAGCAAACAAAACTATTTTATTACTTTTAATTAAAAGGGCTGACATTCAAAGAAGCAACATTTTCTTTACACCAAATGAAACTTAGGAAAACATGCGCAACGCTTAATGACTGCGCAAATCACAATCAACTGCTTTACATACCTAATGACAGATATTACAGACATTATTTTCATATCATATCATATCACTAAGCAAGCAAACACTCTTAATGCACGAGGAAGTACAAGAGACAACATCAGTTAAGTAGTTTCTCCTGGTAGACCAGAAGAACATGAACAAACTGCTACCACTCCCATTCAACAACACAAAAGGCAATCACCGACCGTGACAAATGTGGCTTGTGTCTTTTTGTTTTGTTTGTCCTGCTGCTATAGATATACAGCAGTTTACAAAGGTAGTCAAACCAACTGACATTTATCACAAAGTTAAGTTACAACCACACCGAGAGGGAGATCATGTGTGATAGACCAACACAAAATAAAGCATAACTCCGAAACAAATTTTAAAATCTAGCTGGTTTTACAGAGATTCTTAACTGTAGGCAAAATGTCTGAAAAGTGTGGCCTCTTTTTTAACTTTACGTCAATGATTTTGTTGCCCATTTTCATATTTGCAGCTGAAAGACTTTTTGGTCAGTTGCTACAAGTTTTGGAAATCGGAACACTGAAATTGTTGCCCTTTTCTGCATGACAATATCATCTTTCATTTCTCTGTCACAAAGTCACATCTCTTTGTAGACCTGTGCATTGTCTGGGATATTCTGACAAATGAAAATACTTTGACAAAAACCACTCACTTGTTCCTCTGGTTAAATATTTTATGAAATGTTCCTAACTGAAAAAAAAAAAAAAATCATGCCACAGTACGATGCTGCTGGCATCATGTTTCAGAGTATAAATAGTGTGTATCCTTGGTTGTCATGTTACTGTTTTTGTTCACTAATAACCCTCAAATGTCACAAAACACTACATTTGTATCAACATAACATTAGACAGATGGACTTAATTCACTAATTAGATGGCCTCTGAAGCTAAACTGTTGCAATAGGTTTTAATTAGGGGGATCATCATAAAGAGGACAAATTACAAGTCAACAAAACACACAAATCAACACACAATTTTTACCTTTTATGTTTTTCTCCTCCAGCTCCCAAAACTGTGCTATAATTGTGTTGGTCTATCATATAAAATCCAAATAAACTACATTGAATTTGTGGTTGTAGCATGACAAAATGTGGAAAACATAAAGACCTTTGAATGTTTTTGCAAGGAACTGCACAAGGTCTGCTTGGCGATTAAATAAACCAACACTAATAAGAAGTCAGGGATAAAAATATTTCTGACTTTGACCTAACCTACTCCTTATGTTATTTTGATCTGTTACACAGATCATAGTCATCAGTCAGCTTGATTACTCACTTGTGCTTCTGTATGATCTAGTTTGATTCTTCCTCTGAATTTCATCTTTTTAAATGTCGTGCTGAAAACCTAATAAAAAATGTCCTTGTTTATTCTAGAGAAACTGCTTGTGCCATATTGCATCTTTTGCCTTGTAATCGAGCCAAATTGGCTTGAAGGATCACCTCAAGAACAGGAGGTGATTCAATACCTGTGTTGGGTTCTCTTGACTTTGTAACTGATTTAACCTCATCAGCTACACACACATTTTTCTCCTTGACAGCAAATGCAAATTAATGTGTCATTTTTAAGTGCATTTGCACTGTGAGAAAGAAACTGATATTTATTCATGGAACTGTTGAATTTTACAGGTTGAAGGGAGACATATTAATCCATCCCATCTGGGGTGTCTGCTGTTAGATGTGAGCATTCTGTCAATGAAGGTGCCATCAGTTTCTTTAAAAGCAGCCCCACTGGGATCCACTTACTGGTTTAGAAAACAGTGAGGATTAGAATGGAAACTTGTAAAGCAAACATGAAAAGAAACCACTCAGGGGTTTACAGTGCAACAGTTTGAAAGGGGGAAATGATCCAAGCAGCTTGTTGGAGTCATATAAAACTATTAACTTCCCATTTTAGCACAGTTTGAGGTTACTTCCTTCTTTCTACACATGTCAGAAAACGTAAAACTGCTTTGTTTTTGCAAGAATATGGTGTAACGTTTGACGCAGTTGCTGTCGTACTGAAATTCTTTGCTCAGCATATATAGCCTAATGATGAACACATAAAACGTCAAAGACAGTCGTATAAGGACTGAACAAGAGAGTCTTGCGCAAGTCTTGTTATTGTGCCATTTGCAAAAGATTAAAAACTCAGTGTCTAAACCAAATCTAAAGTATTTTACTCATGTGGATGTATTGGAAAGAAATTGCACATGTTGTAGGAACACCCTTTATTACAAGTGCAATATGCAAAAGGCTGAAACAAGAAAATAAATGTTTAAGAAAAAATAGGCTGTGATGTTTTTCTGTACATAACTCTTTTCAAATTTGAATTTTCAACTAGAAATGCAATAAAATCAGAAGCCAGAAAAGCCTTTCTGGAATTTACATAAAACTTTCACCCAAAGAGTTTTATGTGTTTGAAGGGAATTGTCATCATGAAAATGACATTATTAGTATGTGTTGATTTATCACCAGGAAGATCAAAATTATTTGTGTATTTCAAGCAAACACCTTCAAGCTGGGTAGATTGTGTTGCATAACCTTAACTGTGAAGTCTTTTGTCGTAAATACTTGCTTTTTCAAAGTGACAGGTGTGTTTAAATGAAATCATTATTTGAAAACAACTTCTTGTATTTACCCAGGATTTTTATTTGTCGATAAGAAACCATTTGAACATTGCAAAAATGCCAAATCTTTTTAGATTTAGTTTCTAGTGCAAATATCTTAGTTGAAATAAGACAAAAGTAACTTACAAGTAACTTTCGAACATAAAACTTACAGGAGCATGTTTTATGTCAATAATTTCTTAAAAATAATGAAAAAGTACCAGTTCCGATACCAGACCATTTCAACAGGAAAAATGTCTTGTCATAAGTGAAATAATATGCCAGTGGAACTAGCATTTGTCGATATCAAGAAATTATTGACTCAAAACAGGCTCCTATGTATTTCCGAAAAGTTACTTTTAAGTTAGTTTTGTCTTATTTCAAGTGTATTAAGATGTTTCCAGAAACTAGAAAAAAATTGTGATGAGATTTGATGAGATTCTTGCAGATTTTTGTATCTTGCAGATACAAAAAATAAAAAGATAAAAGTAATAAATCCTTTTTTACAGAACTGAAAATAGGAAATTAATGACACACAAGTGGATTTAATTTACCAACTGAATCCCTTTTGAAGACACAGTAATTATTTCTCAAATTTTAAGCAAAGGGTCTAAATAAACAAATACAAATGCATGTCTCCCTTTCTAGATTTAAAATTTCAATTTGGAATTTTTTATGACATTTGTATTTCTTCATTATGCATTATTATCTTTTGGCTTATAAAGAAACTTAAAAAAACAACATTCACAGAGGTTTGTGGTTTCAATGTGACAAAATTTGGAAAAGTTTGAGTGGTATGAATACTTTCGTTAAGGACAGTACATATAGTTTCATAACACCATGGGAATAAATGTGGTTGCTTGTATGGGAATGCTGTGGAGCTCTTTCACTCTTAATATCTAATCAGCTACTCTCTGTGTTCTGTGATTTGCTTAATTAGCAGCTCAGGACGATGGGTTCACTTCAACCCCCTTACCACACTGGTTGTTTCATAAAACAGAAAGAAAAAGAGAGGTTTTTTAGGCCTGGCTTGAAAGCAATTTTTTTTAAACTGTCCTTCTTTAATGACTTGAAGCCAGGAAGTTAGGAAGCCAAAAAGCCAAGTTGACGAGTAGGTATGAAGTTAGAGGCGGTGACCACATTCCTTCAATCAAATCAATAGCACTGCTTTAACTCCAATGCCAATTTTATGAAGGTACAAGCACATCGTGTTGAGGCATGGCCCGTTTAATTAGTTTATGTGGGATGGATCAAAGGTGGTTTGAATGGGGGCCATATCCCAGAACTTTAAGTACCTCTCACAAAACACTTGCAAGCCAGGCCTGAGACAACCTTTTCCTGTCTTGGTGTGAATTAGGTAAGGAGCAAGGTGGCATGAGGGTTTGAAGTCAACCTGCTGCTTTTAAGCCTCTGAATCGCCAAGGGAGGCACTTACAAAGACAAGCTGGTGGGTAGGTGTGAAACTGAGAGTGGTAAGAGTAGTACCCCAGTCTAACCAATGAATATGCTGGCAATTCCTGCTTTCATGGAGGTAAGCAAGCTTTGTCCAAGGTCAGACCTTTAATAAAAATTCAATAACTGAACATTTCAGTGTTACATTTCTTTTTTATGAACTAAATTAATACTTCACGTATATCTGCATTAGGCGGTTTTATGTTAATGGAGGCCAAGAAGGCTGGTAGTCATTGTGACTCAAGACAATGTGAAGCATGGCTTTAATCACATTTTAATTATTGTATCAAAAATTGCATTTTGTCATGTTGGAAGCAAAATAACAGGTTGATTTTCTATAACCAAAATCTAAAATTAGATGTTCAGCTTATAAAGTATAAACTGCCATCTTGTTTTCTGGAAGTTACAGGTGAATTATAATAATTAAAAAGCTATCTCTGGTTATTGTTTTTTTTTTTTTATTATGAGAAAAAATACTCCAACGTAAACTCTCATGTACATAACTCGAAGGAATTCCCTATCTGCCACCTCTACCCTAACAATTTGACCTGCATAAGGTGGGAGAGGAGAGATGGCACTTAGGCACACCCCCATACATAGAAAGCCTGTTTTAGCTCCTGTCCAGCTCTGCTCTGGGCTCCTCCACGCGGGTCCCCGGAAGACTTGGGAACAAATCAATCTAACAAATAATTCACCGGCTGCGGCACGCCCGGCTGAACTGATGGCAGAGGAAGTGGCAAAATGAATTAAAGTTTCAAAGGAAACTGTCACTTTGTGTTACAGAAACCGACTAAACAGGTTTATGCTTTTGCCTCCGAGAGTTGGGAAAGTGCTGAGAGCAAATTCACAAGTACTCGCTCTGGCAAGGGAAGTAAAAGCATTAGGAGCAGGCACAGTGACAGATAAGGAGAGGCAAAATGAAAGAAAGAATGACAGAGTGAGATGGTCCAATTCTCCTACTTCTGTTGATCCACGTCTTGCTTGGGTTCCTCCTTAGCCTAGTTTTTAATGCAAGCTGAGTAAGAATGAACACGAGCCAAGAAAATTCACAAGAGACCATCAGCAGAGATCTGTGGCGTAGCCTGAGGATCCAACAGCTTCTGATGCAGCAAAATTAGACTTCTAAATTGTTTATATTGTTCTATCCAATCACATGTCTTGCTTTTTAAAACTATTAATAAAGTTAGTTAAACAATTCTGGTTTGGCATACTCACTCTGTACATGTAAGACAGTCATGTCTATTTCTACAGGCAGTTATGCTGAAAAGCATGCCAGATTTCATCTAATTCGGGTCTGTAAACATGTCTCACTGAAAGCACCGCTGCTCTGCAGCAGCTGCACGCAATAATGGCTGCAACATGTTAACTTGTATCCATTTTTCAGCTTCTGTGGAGGGGATCGTATCAACATGCAACAGATGAATCATCTGATTTAAAGAGGTTGTTTATGTCAGTGGTTTGGAGTTTCTGCACCCGAGGCGAACCAGGGATGCCAGACAACTACTGTAGCAACTGCCTGCACTAATAATGACAAACAGCCTTTGAATGAGGCAGTTATGAGGGAAAGTAAGGCCAGAGGTGTGCAAGCATACAGGGCAATGAAAAAAGTTTATTTTCAGTAATCGCACAAACTCATTTAAGCCTGAAACTCTAAAGATCTGCATGAATGTTAGAGATGAAACACACGGTGTCTTGCTAAAGTATTCATAGCTCTTGGACTTTCTTGCATTTTTTTTCAGTTTACTGACTGAAACTTCAGTGCTTTTCATTAACTTTTTTATGTAATACTAAAACATAACAATTAAGATGTGAAAGAAAAGTGATTTATGGCTTTAAAATAAGAATCTCAGAAGTGTGGTGTTAATTTGGTTTTACTTTGTTGCATTTTGCTGCAGGGTACAACAGTTTTTTATTTTTGTTTGTTTGTTTTACATTTGGAAACAAATTTTTTTAACTGGGTCATTTTAAAAAATGAACATTATTTGATCTGAGTCATTTCATTGTAGTGATTGAATTGCTGGAAGGGAATCCTTTGCCCCAATTGCTAGTCTGCTTCAAACTTTAATGGGTTTTTCTTCCATGACTGACTTGTATTTAGCGTCATTCATAATCCAGTCAACCATGTCCAGCTTCCCTGCACACACTTAAGAAAAACATGAGGGAAACACGGTAGTGGCAGAGTAATACTGCCGCAACCATGTTCCGTTGTGGGAAGAGGTGTGTTACTGTAAAATTCCGTTTTAGTTTTCCTTCACACAGACGATTTTTGGCAATGGGCCATGATGTTAGAGTTTGATCTCATTCTCCCAGAGATTTACAGTCACAAACCTTAAATGAGAATTTTTTTGATGCCACTTAAAAAAATTGTGCATGGTAAGCCCACACATTCGAAATGAAATTTATTTTGAAAATGAATTGTGGTTTTCAAAATACATTTTCCTCTCATGTTATATCTATATTTGTGGGAAAATGATCTGGTGTACAAAGTAAATTAACAGAAAATGCTCCTTTCACTAAACTACAAGGAATCTTACTTTTCTTTAAGTTTTCTTTCAAAACTCACTGCTGTTTTGTAATAGGGACCTTCTGGATAAATGATAATAAAATCACTTCTCCAAATATATAGTTGTCAAGTATATCTTCTTTTTAATTTTGTTTTACACTTTTTATATGCTGAAAAGAATATTTTTAGGAATACATTAACTGAAAGCCAACCTAACCCAAAACTGAAACTATCAGCCACATGTTCCAACTATCCAGGTGCTCCGACTACTAAGAAATTGATGCCTTTTCCAGTCAATGACCTGGGATGAGACCATCTGAAGGCTTCTCCGCTCAAAATATCCCCTTTCATCCTTTGTGGCTAACTCGCAAAGCTCCGAGTACAACAAAGCATCGGAGAAAACCGATATGCAGCAGGTTTGGTAATCTGAAGTTGACTAGTTTCTTTTGAAGTTATCTGCTCCTTTGTGTGGGTTTTTGAGGAGCAACAGTATTGTGGTTGGGAAGGTCTGCTGGTGACTGGAGATAACCCGACCACTGGACGGCATCTTGCAAGGCGGCATTGATGAAAATGCAAAATGATCTCTTTGTGCAGTTTTTTTTAAGCTTTGAAGAACAATATTATATTAATTGTTGTTTGGGATCTTTTGTATCGCTGTACTGGCTAATCTCTCTGTAAGCCTGTGCTTTAAAGGGACTTCATTGAAGTGTGTTTGAGGAGAAAACCACAAGCCATTTGAAATCTAAATTTTTCCTACTTCGTGTTGCCTGCTGAACTTCATCTTTTATGAATTTGAACAGTACATTACATTAATTGTGTTAGAAAATTCAAAATTTTGCCTTTCATAATTCTAAGAGTTTTTTCATTGGGATGCAAACAGCCACATGGTAGAAAACACAAAAGATTGAGAAGGGTGCAGTAAAACTGACCTCTTTTAAAGACTATGCTGTCGTAGGGGATTTTGTTTCTTGTCTCCAGGCTGGAGCAGTTCCAGCGGTGTCCTCTGAACTGGTGCTGGCACTCGTGGATGGCGATCTGGATCCCCTGAATTGCCGAAGCCGTCACATCCGGATTGCGCATGCACACCTCCAGCTGGCGTCTCGTCAAACCGGGTAGTGTCATACAAACTGTGTTGGCATTCAAGATGGGTTCGATGTTGTGAAGCTTCAGACCTAAGATCTCATTGGAATCCACCCTGTGAGAAGCACAAAGTTGGGGGTTATTAGCAGGACGGCTCTGTGGTCCAGACCTTCTTGCCTCCGCTCGGCCAGATTTTGTTAGACACTAAAGTCTAGTTAAGACCACCAAGTCTCCTTGAATGTGACCCCAATATTCAGTACCCACAGTAACACAAAGATGGCTCAAGCTCACAGTCCCCATGTAAAACGTAATATATATATATATATATATATATATGGTTAACTGTCACAAAACTAGCTCCAGATGTGTCCACTTTTTAAGCACTTTCTTACTTTGTTTTATTTGTGACTCAGATGACAGTTTTTTAGCAGTGTAGCAGTGTAATAATACATCATGAAACTTATTTCACATTAATGTAAATAGTCTGAAATTAAATAAAACAAGACAGTTGTTATACAATAAGCTGATGATTCTGAAGTGGCATTTTTGTACCACAGTGGAAAGCCCCTGCAAGGTTTCCTCATAAATCATGTCTGGAGATATAACTTAAACATTTTCTAATTAACTGCAAAGATATTTTCAGACGAGAGAAGTTTGTGTTGCAGATCAATCACGTGAAACAGCATTCAGCCGACGGCACTTTCAGAGTTCTTTCCAACTCAACAAAGAAGCAGTAACAGCAGCGAGAATGAAAAACTCGAAATCTGAAAGGTGTCCAGCTTTTCCTTTCATCACCATTAAGTGTAAATCACAGGCTGCATGTGCTTCTGTGTGCCTCACTCTGATATACATGAAGTCACCGACATGTGTAGCTCTTGGCAAACACACATCAGCAACTGCTCTAGCACACCTTAACATGCAAATACTTTAGAGTAAGGCAGAGTGCACAGTTGCTTTTACAACTAAGCCACTTTGCCCGCCATTGTAGTTTTTACAACTTATGACTGTTGCAGAACTTCACTGACCACATGGTATCTGAACAGGACGTTCATGATTCAGAAGTTTTGACAATTGACTAAACCGTGTGCTTTCAGATATAGATGCTACCTGTTGGGATTTCTGTAAAAGTCTCACTTCATAAAGATTGAAAATCATATTGCCATGTTTTTGCTTATACTTTGAACATTAGCTGGTGTGTGCATCATTTACTTGCAAGATTAAATGATAACTTTCATGGTAAGTAGCAAACTATTTACTGATCGTATTAAATCTCTGCAGAAAGGTATTTTTATCTTATAATTTTTAAATAAAAATATATAAATAAATAAGGCAATAAATATAAAAATAAAGTAAGTTAACATCTATGTTTGAAAAAAAACAACTATATAGCAACTCACCTTTTATCAAGCAGACAGATAACCACCAAAACGCATGTCAGTGTGAGGACTGAGTGTTCCATGTTTGCGCTCAATAACGATAATAATTAAAAGTAAATAAAAAGTTGCAAAAAAATATATGTATATATATATATACATATATATATAGGAGGAGCTTTCAATTCAAACTGGTTCCAGTAGAACTCTTCTAAGTTTGGGGGATGAATAAACCAAAGTTACGTCCGTCTAAAAGTTTGCGCTGGACTTGACAGCTCCGACAGCCCTGCGTCCAGATGTGCCAGCCTCATTCAAGAAAAAAAAAAAGTTTCATCAAGCTCTAAAGTCACTGACAGGCAGGGAAACGCCGGCTGCTACAAGTTTGGAGAAAAGTCAGCTCTTTCGCTCTGGAATACATCCGCGCTCGCGCCGGTGTCTCCGCCAACGAGGAGTTTCATTGAGAGGACATCCGAGATGAGACGGACGCGCGGCTTCTTACTTATAGGCTTCCCTAAATGAAGTCTGCTTGAGTAGTGATGTTTAGTCCTCTAAACTCCTGCTCTTAGCGCTCTGCCAGCCCACTTTTTTTTTGCGTCACTCGGGGAGTAGAGGAGCGTCGAGGGAGGTCAAGTGCCTCGTTAAGGCAGGATAGAGATCCTGCGAGATAAGGACACCAAGAACACTTAGCCTGCGCCCTCTGTGAAGCAGAGCAGTTATATATTCTCCGGAGGGGCGATGATGCTCAGAGTGATGAAGCAAAGAGATTTAAACTTAGTTTAGGTATTTAGAGATTTTTTTATTTTTATTAGCCTATTATTAATTTGGTGCGCCAATTATAAAGTTAATTGTAAATTGACGAAAACTGGTTCTTTGCCCTATTTATCATTTTAAGTTATAATAACTGATCAATTTGTAAGCTATTTAGTGGGTATTGTGGCACAGGGATGTAAAAACTGGACAAAAAACTTTTTTTTTTTTTTTTACATTTGATGTTGATTAAAAACATATACTCTGAGCTTATATGTTTGTTGATTGGATTTAATAATCACGTTGTTTACTTTTGAGCACGACGAGGCAATTTACAAAAGAGTAAGGAGAGATTAAAAGCAGCTGCGCTTTCAGCATTTATGGGGGCCGGGTAAGCTCATTATTCCTGCTTCGACAGGGGTCCCACTTTCATGTACCATTATGTTTGGGGAGACCTTGATAGTTTGGTTTGGATAGGAGCGAGTCGGTGTAGATATGCACATAGGGAAGGAATGCTGACATGCATCCACCCATATCTTAGCTGTTAATTCGGTTTTATAATCGTTAAGTTGTTGTAGTTGTTGATTTTGTCCTTCAGATTTGGACTGAAATATCTAGGCTTCCAACTTGGAGGGTACTGGCGTTCGTCGGATTTATCATTCAGACTTAATTTAGATACACATGACTTCATATCAGAAAAATTATGAGCCATAAAGTAAAATTCAATTTTTTTATGGTGGACTATTACTTTTAAGTTCAGTCCATTTACTTTTACAAGTTCAGCTTTAGTTGCTGTTTGGTGTTAATGTTGCCTATGGTAACATAACTATTTACTGAAGGCCTAAAAGACCTTTGATGTTTGGTTGAAAACAGTTCTTCTGACAATTTAAAACAGATGCAGACATGACCATTTTGTTCTTTGACAGCAACACTTCTCCAGCATTTTGGAGAAGTGATGATTTCCATCTTTTCATTAAGTAGCGCATCAATCATTGAAACATGACATAAAGGGGGCTGCTGAAGCATCTGCAGATTGGTTGGTACACATCAAGTTTCAGGATAGAGAAATTTTGATGCTTCTGTCTAAAATTGTTTCTGTGTGACAGCCCCAGAATGTGTGAGAACAAAAAAAAAAAAAAAAAAAAAAAAAAAAAGAACACAAGCAAAAAAGAACTATAAATTATAACAAAAAACTATATGAAAATTGAATCATACTTGAAGAAAACACAAGAAAATTCAATGTTAAAATTAGCAGCGAGAAGTGCAATTTAAAAAAAACAAACAGTGTGACAAATATTATTCTGAGTGGTAAATGTTATTGTGTATGACTAAAAGAACACAATATTTCACTTAAACCATATACCTGCTTTTGTGAACTAAATGGGAAGAAAACTTCTGGTAGTTGAGAAAAGGATTCATTTTTATGTCTGTTTGTGCAAAACTCCATGGGTCTGTAACATGACCCTGAATAAATTAAGAGTTTACCTTAAAATGTAATTTTGGTGTTGAATTTTTTTCTGGAACATCAACTAAAACTTTATTTATTTAGCCGGTGCTGTTTATATAGGGGGAGCACATGTTTTATACAGACTTTTCACGTCTGTGTTCTGACCATCAAATTGTATGGCCTGCACAATAATGCACTTGGAAAAGTTGTCCGGCATACAGTCACAAAATTATGTTGCAAAATCAGTTATCAGATCTCAAATATAAAAAAAATATACAAATGTTTGATGATCAAAAACCCTTAACTCTGATTTTGAACTCTCTTAACTCTACATTTTCACAAAACTTAAACAAAGTAAACTGAATGAATTTGTTGTCTCACATTTACTCTAATTAGACTCTTTTCTGACAGAGTATCAGTAAAATAAATTCAGAAGAATGTATTTGATTTGCTGCATCGAGTTATGCCTAAAAATGATTTCAGTTACTCAGATTACTTTCTTTGTTCACTTACTTTCAATTAAAAGAAAAAGAAAATAAATAATTAAAGTTTTAAGTCTGTCAATGTGAGAATCTTTCTGTTCTGTGAGTAAAAACAATCAAGAAGAAAAGAGGACTCATTAAATTGTTGGTTCCATTTGCTGCTTAGCCTCCTTTGTGTGTCATTGTCTTTAATCTCTCTGTTTAAATGAATATAAAGTACAACAAAAAAGCTACCATGTTGATGAATACCACATGATATCACTCATCCTGGTGCTTTATGAGTAGCTTAGAATAAAGATTTAGAAACCACAAATAAAAAGGCTTTCCCCACCAGTGCAGGGAAGCGAGCATTCTGCCAGTGTGGAGTCACCAGAGTGGTAAAACACAACATGGGTTTAGCATTCAGACGTAATTAAGTTGCCATACACAAATTTAGAAGATCAAGAAAAACAAACCCCATGAAAAAAGAAAATCTCATACAGGAATTTATTAATGCACCCTGACCTGAAAGATTTGGAGAGAGTTGCCAAATTTGTACCTAATTATTTCAAGATGTTTGAGAAAAGCTGGATATTGTGTAGATTCTGTGGTTTTGCTACTCTGACTTCAGCTCCACAGCACAATATGTTATATGCTTACATCCCCACTTCTCTGACACAGATGATAATGGAAAATAACATCCCCTTATGAGTGACAGATGTTTGTAAACACGGCAGATATTTTGAACCATGCTCTCAACTGTGGTAATGAAAAACAGAATAAACATTTATTACAATGAAGTCAGGCATGGTCGGAGTTGTCCAAAATGTGAAAAGATGTCAAAGTTTAGTGGGGTTTTCATAAAACAGCACAACTGCCAGGAAAATACTTTAAAAAGTTTTCTAAAAAAAAAAAAAAAAAAAAAAACATGTCAAGAAGATAAGATTAAGAAACAAAAAGCAGGAAGATTTGACTTTTGGAACAGAAAAATAAGAATCACAGGACAAAACTGACATCAGCCAGAAGACTTATGAAGTGAAAAAGTCTACATCTTCAAAAAAATATGAATGTGAGAAGAAAAAAGTATGAGTCAAGTGTTTAAAAAATATAAATATGTGAGAAATAACTTATGAATAGCACTAAAAGCATGTAATGCATAGCAAAAGTGAGCTTATTACACAGATCTGTTTTGTACACTGTACTTGAGTAAGGTCTGAGTCAAATATCAATCTATAAACAGTAGATTATTGATGAGAAATCAGAAAGAAACGAAGTACATAATTAGAAATCTGCTTGGATAATGTTTAGCAGACCTTGCTGGAATATCAAGCTAAATGGCAATTTAGCTAATCAAAACATTTTCTCAGAGTAAAACAAAAATTCACTTGTTAGTGCTATTTATTACAGACTACATCGAATAATAACAATTTTTGTTTCCACTCCAATCATATTTAGCTGGTAGGTACATCATTAATTCCCTGATGGAAATTGTGCTACAACAGCATCAGTGAAGACATTTAAAACAAAGCAGAAACAAAGAACAAAGTAAATGCAACAGATAGATATTGATGTTTGTTAAAGAGGCTGATGTCTTCCAGCAGTTCCCTTAGCGTTTTAAAAGGACCAGCCCGTGGTTCAATGTGCTTCTTTTTAAAATGTCTAAAGCTTAAAGCAGGTGGAAGGTGTAATTGATGATTGAGTTAATTGTAAGGAGTATTCTCAACGCTGCCACCTGCTGAACTGTCTCTAGGAGTGCCCCGCATTTGGAGCTTGCCTTCCAGTTCTGTTTATGTATCCTGTTGTAAGCTGTTTGGCTTGCCTCTCCCTAGCAAACCACAACAAAAACATAGTCACCACGATTTAGTTGAAGGAGCACCGTATTGGTCCACACATGTTTAAAGAGCTCTGTCATCTTAAACAACCTTTTACAGCCTTTCCATGAGAATTGTCCAGTCCAACTTACCATCCAGTTATATTTTCCAGTACTGATGACTAGAAACGATCTGGCGGCGAGGGATGTTGTGCAAAGACAAGTACTTAAGAAAGACATTTTTCATTTTTTTCTTTTGATGACAAAAATCTCTCTGTTACGCAATTGATTGCTGTAATCAATGTAAGATGAGCATGTAAAAATGTCATGAATATGTCTGTTATTTGATAGAACATTTAATGGAAAAAATATCTTACTTTTTCTCTTGTTTCTCTGACTGAATCTTTAAATCTTTATCTAATGTATTGCTGTCTGTTTCTCTCGCTCTTTCTTCCCTCCAAAAGCAAAACCTTTTATTCAGTAATTGGAGTTTTTTTGTGTGTCAACGTCAAGGCATGAAGCAGTTGGGCTATTTTGTATACTTGGATATATGTATCAGAAGTAGGAGAGTTACTCCTCCTGTGACACACAGGAGACTAAATAGTCACTCTATTTAGTTTGCAAGATCGCATGCAAACTGAACAAGGTTCTGAATATTGTCAGGCTGTCATGGTTGACGTGCCTCTGCAGTGTCACAAGGAGAACCATTAAAACACAGCTGGTGTGACAAACTGGAGTGGTGGTCCCAGTTAAGAAAGAGTGTATTTCAATTATTGAAACACACGGGGAGAAATGTGGCTTTCGTCCTTGTCGTCGAAGACTGGACCAGATCTTTACCCTTTGAGACTTACTGAGGGTCCATGGGAGTACACTTCTCTTGTCTGCATCTCCTTTGTGGATCTGCAGAAGACCTACAACCTTGTCCACTTTGATGTTTTGCAAGAGTTGCTGTGAAAGTATGTGGTTTCCTGGTTGCTTTTAAGGGTTACCTAATTCTTGTATTCCCAAGCCAAGATTTGTGTCTGGTTTCTCATCTCAGGGCTGCCCCTT